GCAACCACAACAATATTTTCATTACAGCCAGATTGTAAAAACTCGTTAAGGGCTTCAACATACGGTCCAAATAGCGTGCACTCGAGCTTAATTCTACATGAGTTACAAAATGTAACCAGACAAACTATTAGAGCTTTACATAGCAGTAGGGGTGTTCGCCGTTCGGTTTGGATCGGTTTTAAGATAAAAAATCATCCGATCCAAAGATAAATTTACTCGCGGTTCGGTTCGGTTTTGGAAGATATATTAAAAAAATCCAATCCGATCCGATCCAATTTTATGCGGTTTAATTTGGGTCGGTTTTTGGATATCCAAATTACACATTATATTTTTATTAATATTATAAAACTACTAATAAATCATAGATTTGATATAATATATAACATATAGTATATTAAAAGTTAATATTACAAAATGAGAGTGGTTGATTATGATTGAAATAATAAAAATAAATAAATTATACCAAGCTAATAACTATTATTAAAAAAATTATTATCATCTAATAATAATTTCACATAGCATATCATGCTAATAAAAAGTAAATAAGTATAAAAATATATGTATGCAGTTTGGTTTGGTTTGGATCGGTTTTGAAAAATTAATCCGAAATCCGATCCGAACTTATCGATTTTCACAAAATAACATCCAAACACATCCAATAAATTTCGGTTTTTTGCGGTTTTCGGTTTTTTGGATCGGTTTTCGGTTTTTTATTTGGATTAGTTTGGATTTGAACACCCCTACATAGCAGCATATGGTATAACTTACATATAATATATTACCCATTGGATTCCAACTCAATAGCTTTAAATTTAGTAGCTACGTGATTCCTTTCATACACCCTTTCACGACCAACAGAATATAAAATACCAATTACATCTGAAAAATATTTAAGAAATTATATAACTTTAGTTACAACTATAAAAATATACGAAAATACATGAAAAAAATAATAAGTCATAAGGTATACTACCAATTAAGTAGTCCATGTTTATGTTACCAAGAATATCTGTAAAAGACACAAACGAATAAGGCAATAATGTCCTCATTTCAGTTCTAACATCTGTGACAATAGTGCCATTCTACAAATTCAATTTAAATTGATGCTTCGTAGTCCTAAACGCTCCAGTATTAACAGCGACACTGAATGACTTGAAAGAATATAGATCCCTCCTTAATTTTATTTTCAAATCGAGGCAGCAAGGCTTTTCTAACTGAAGCTTGGATTTTGTCACCCTAACAATTCAGAAACAATATACAAGTCAGTTTATATATCTGTATAATTCAGATTAACTCAATATAAAACAAATAACTTGATTTGACTATAATGGTAATTGAAACAAACTTATAACCTTATCATCCATGAGAACCATTTCCATAGAAAAATATTTCTGTTTCACATTCATGTCTGGAACGAACTATAATTGGACAACTCGAACCACAATGTTCCACGACTCCTTTACAGGAGTTATTTCATTAACAAAAATGACACCTCCGGAAGCCATCACCAAACCTAACACAAAAAGTTGTATGCAAATTTCGTCAATCGTGAATAACAACTATAACAAATATCTAGAAGAAATCCAATATGTATATAATTTGGGATGGATAATACCTATTTATAATACATATTGATGCATGAAATTACCTAGAAAACAAAATTCATTGATGATGAGAAATTGAAATCGCGTCTTAGATCCAGCCGGATACATGAATCAAGATTTGGGAATCGAGAATAATTGATTGCCTGATATAAAAAAGCTTGCATTCTGCATTATAATTCGAGAAATTTGATTGGATAAAGGAAGAAAATGGATGTCAATACACTTCATACAACATCAATTTGCACTAGTAGAATACAAAATTAATTGGAAAGGTCAAGGCTGCAGACGGCTGCATCGCAAAAGTTACTGACGATTAAGTTTTCGGAAAAAACCCAATATTTATTTAAGCGTGACACAACATAAATTTTGAAGAGAAATATTAAAAAAATAAAATAAAAAGAATAGTATGTCATAATTAAAAAGTTTCTATTTATGGATGAATTAGAAATAGAAGAATACTCATCTTACATTATTATATTATATAGATATACCTATGATATATACATCCCATTAACTATGTTAATTGTATAAAAACACATCTCTCCTCATTGTTATTGTGTTTAGTTGCTTCTTGATATTTAAATAAGAGTTTACTTTTTTTAAGAGGACAATGAGTATTTAAAGGAGGTTAATGCTTTTTATAAAGAATAGCTAGCTTTAGATAAAAAATAAATAAAAAATATTATTAATAAATAAATAAATAATTGATTAATATCCTATTTAATTTTGACACTCTAATATAATTTGTGGAGGCAAATTAACAAACGAGATGTGACAATTTCAATCACTTTTAATTTAAATTTATTTTTAACAAACTAAGTTTTTAAATATAAATTTCACTGCTGCAAAATAAATATAGATTTTGTTTTTTAAAATCTATCAGATGAAATTTTCAAACATCCACATATTGGTCGAGAAGCTGAACAATAGATTTAGGCAAAAGGTTGGAATTCTCAGGGGTCTGTAAAACATGACATGTTAGTATCCCAAACGAGTATGATTCAGCAGTGATTGATAAGAAACTCAATTCAACAACTTTGTTAACCACTTGAGCAAGAGATTTGTTGCTGACGGGTTTGAAACTAGGAGTTTTGGCACCTCTAAGCACAAATCGTCAGCCATTAGTAGTGAAGAATAGTTAATATCACTACTCTAGACTAGAGCCAACCTATGATTTAGAAAAGCCAACTGGCGATGAAGAATCAATTTTAGTACAGAATAGATAGATGAGTGGGTGCATTGATTGATAGAATGAGAATGCCCTTTTAATTCATACAATATTGTGTTTATATAGGTAAGTTGGTTATAGCTCAACCAATCATTACTAAAAGATAACACCTCGTCATTCTAGAAAGATGAATAATATAATCTAGGAAAAACAATAAAATAGATAAAAAATAAGTTTACTTGTGATCCATGAATTCCTTTGACAACATAGTAACTGGAAAGTAATTTTACACAGTCAATCAATCATCATCATGTATTCTGTGAAGTTATCCTAATATTTTTAAGTTAATTGTATGACATAATTGATTGATAAATCTATCATATAAGAAAACATGTCTCTTTCCTTTAAAATTTTTTTACCACATGGTTGATCTAAAACAACTAATATTCTTATTTTTTCTTCTCATTAAATCCTATTTTTCTATTCTTGTCTAGCCTTCCTCCATGTTGTTCGTAGCCCTGTCTCTCCAATTTCTCCTATTCATTGTCAATTTTGTAACTGCTATCCATAACTTCCTTTAATTCATCAACCATCTCAAAATCATCATGGCTGTCATTTATTATAACCTTCCATTCTCTCAACTTCTGTTACAGCTTCACCTGCCTCTAACCCTAGCGTTTTTTTGCATCTTCTCAATATGAATCGCAGAAGGGAAAGATGCGCAAAAAACATACACCATATTCTTCTTCTTTCCCACTCTTCTTCTTCCTTCTACTTTTTCTTCTTCCCCTATCGCCACTAACACTGGGATTATATTTTCGGTAACTCAAGGTATGTTTGAATGTAATATAAAGAGTTCAAGAACAGGAAAGTTAGGGTTTTTATGATTGATTTGATGATTTGGAGTGATGATATGTTCAGGGCTATGTTTAGGTTTTTTTTTTTTGTGTTCATGTTTGGAGTTTTAAACTTTTTGATGTTTTATTTTCAGTTTATGCTTTATGATATTGTGGGATTTGATAAAATATTATGATACTCTAACTTGGTTGATATTTAGATGCAGGAATATGATGTTGTGTTTATAGATCGCGTCAATGATGATTTTGTTGAAGCAACACACTATTGGATTTGAGGTACTGGTTTGATATACAAATTATTGTTACAATTTCTGATAGTTACAATTTCTATTTTACATATAGAACGATCCCGATCAAGTTGATATTTGGTCTGAGAAATGTCTATAACCGAGTACTGTGAACTTGAGGTTTCAGAGGGTATATACTATTGCAAAGAGGCTGGAGATTCCTATGCGCCCGCTATGGTTGGTTTTGAATTTAAAAACGATCGATCATATCTTGTCTATGATGATATTGTGGCGTGTGCTGAGTTTAAGGATGCACTGCTAGAGGTATTTCTCTCCATATAGATAACTCTTTGAAACAATATTGAGAATAATTTTTTGTACATGGTAGAGTTGAATAAGATAGTGGTTAATGGGAACAACTTGTCATCCAGCATGCCACTGTCAGAAACTATTTGCAATTATGTTGTATTTCATTTATATTGTGCTCGCAACTCTTTGTGATTGATATATTGTATAATGCAATGATTTTAATGCAGATTTATGCCATAATTGTGGTAATTTTGAGTCTTTGTTTTAGAGAATTTCATTAGCTATTACTGACATATATGCCATTTTAGTAATATGGTCTTTGCAGAACTACCGGCTTGTTTGTTTGCTCATAATTGGCGACAGGGTAAGATCTCTAATAAGACTCTTATATTTTCCCATTTCAAAATTCTGGAGAGTTTATTTTTCAAAATACCCAAGTGAGTCAACTGGCAACCTAAACAAACACTTTGAATTGCACCCTTTGGGAGTCTTATGCTGAATAATTCATCAAGTATAACCAGGATCAGGCCGATGCGTCTGTCCCAATTGTTGTTTTACTTCAATATGCAAAAGTGAAGGAAGAGGGTTAGATGTTTAACTTTGTTATTGCTTAATCAATAACTTGTATTTACTGAAAATTGTGTCTTACTGTGTGAATGTAGGAAAGTATCCACTATCCGTGACAAACACCTATCATGTAACTATGTTATGCCTCGATGCTGATTTTCCTCTGGTGAAAGAAATTATACACCGATAGAGTAATTGTGTGACTTATAAATGTTGGATTACTCATTATGTTACTTGGTGATTTTATATTTTTTATTATATGTGCATCATGCCTAAAGGCAATATTGTAACTGTATCCGGCCAGCTGGGCTCTAATTCTCAACTCTCATCTCAAACTTCTGAAAATTCACAACTAACTCCTGTGCAAAAGTTGCTTTCTAAGGTCGTTGTTTTACCTATCGCTGACATTATCAAACTTCATGATGTATGCATTACTTTGCTTTGACCTTATTATTTATTATTTCATCAGTGATGTTACATGCGTGTTTCTAATTTAGTGTTTGTTTTCTGTCATGTCTCTGCAGATCACGTTTTGTGCTACTGTGGCTGAAGCAGAAGTTTTGGTTGCGTTTCCTTTTGGTTGGTATTACCGTTCCTGCTATCTCTGTCCCTGCATTGCACATGGTGACATTCCTCCCTTTGAGTGTGAGTCTGGTCATTCGACCGAGGAAAATTTCTTTAGGTTTTATCCCTTGCTCTTTGCCGATTGACTTTGGTATGATGCTTAATCTCTCTTATGTATGTAATCGTACTTATTATCCCATTTTACGTTTCATTTTCCAGGTATAAAATTGAGATTGAGGTTGCTTATGCAGGAAAGAGTTGTAACTTTGTATTTTGGAACAGAGAATGTGAACTGCTTTTGGGTGTATCTGCTTCTCAGCTGCGTTATACTATGATCCAAGTTAGTACCATGAATCAGATTGATTAATTTTTCCACCATGTTTAAAACCTGACCCTGATCATTCGTGTTACTTATACAGGATGGAATTCATGATGCGTTAGAATTTCCATTGGCGCTTGATCAGATGTTGAATTTGGAGATGGCCTTTAAGGTCAAGTGCGCGTTGGAAGAATTATTCGGTTGTTATGCTGCTAAAAATGACCCTTTCATTAAAGAGCTTAAAGGTCCATGGGAAGCAATTGAGGTATGAAACATCCATCTGCCATTTCTATTATGTTATTCTATGTTGTTTACATTTATCCGTCTGCATGCCCACCCTGTTCTAATTAGGACACAAAGGCTAATGTTTTGATCCCTCCTATAAAAACAAAGCCACTACATGTATTTGTCGCACTATACTTTTTTGTTGCTTCTTTGTTTAATTGATTATATGTTATATGTTACAGCTACTATTAATTGTCATTAGGTTAAAGAAAGCGTTGATGAAGCCAAAACGGATGCTCCCGGTGAATCTGATATCGTAGCAGTAAACTTCATTGTTCTTTCCTGTTTGTGGCTGATTATCATATCTATACAAATATTCTTTTATCCCTATAACTAGTAACAAACTCGTGCTATCGCACGGGTCTCGTCTGGATTCACATTACATTTATAGATTATTAAATTATTAAGTATGTTACCATGTTTTCAGTTGAGTATATGTCTCATGTAAACCATGTTGGCATTTAACTCCATATTTGTAGCAAGCGTCGGTCCTATCAACAAATCACGTCTGCATGAACAAATAGGAAAAATTATATACTTCTTAAAAAAAACAATGATATTTATGCTCTAAGATATCCGTGCTATCGCACGGGTCCCGTCTAGATTCACATTATACGTTGTCAAATCTCATTTGTCAAGTTTGAATATATTTTTTAGTTGATTAACATTCACATAGTTACAAATATAGACTAATAATATGCATCAACTTTTAAATTAAGAAATAAAAAGAACTCTTATATTAATATATTTGACCAAAAGAGTATTAAATCTTTAATGTTAATTTGATTTTATTAAAAAGATTCTACAATTTAGTCAAAAATGAATTCTATACTGAATTAATATAAAACAGTAGCAAAAGAAAGATTTAAAAGATGAACATTAAAATGAACAGTTTACGGTTGATATTTATAGATACGTTCACATTTACCTGTGGATCTATGCCTGTAAAGTCCTTCATTAAGATGAACAATCTACGGCTATTAAATTGAGAAATAAAAAAGAAATCTTAGATTAATATATTTGACTAAGAGAGTATTAAGTCTTTATTGTTAAATTATACTCCCTCCGGTCTTATATGTAAGCAACAAAAAAAAAATTACTAGTCTCAATTATAAGCAAAAATTAATTACCATTGATATAATTAAATTCTTCATTCCAATTTTACCCTCATATTGTAGTTTTCCAAAAACAAAAATATTCCTCTAATAACTTCACTTTTTATAGTTTCCAAATGAGCATTTATTTTTACTTTTACGTTGCATTTGTTACCATTGCCTTTTGAAATGCCATATCCTATTATAAATGTTTCATATCCAGTATTTTGTCTACCATGAGTCTTGTTCTTCTATTTTTTTTATACTCTAAACATGGCAAACCCACATCAAATAGCTAATGAATTTCCATCTTTTGATTTAGGCATTGAAGACTCTGAGAATTTATCAAATCTCATTGTTGAAGACTCTCTGGATTTGAACAAAGTTCCTGAAGTAGTTCTAACTCCAACAAATGAAAGTGCAGAAAATCTCACTCTAAAGAATGAAAGTGAAGATGCTCTAACTCCAACAAATGAAAGTGCAGAAAATCTCACTCCAAAGAATGAAAGTGAAGATGCTCTAACTCCAACAAATGAAAGCACCATTGTTGAATTACTAGATATGAGTGATTTTGATCTGAACAAATTACCGGCATTGGACTTCGGTGTCAAGCAAGAAGAGGTTAAAGACATGATAAAAATTTATTTAGATTATTTGAACTAGGTGTTCTTATTTGGATTTTTGTGAGGTTTAATGTTTCTGGTTTTTTTATCATTATGTTTCTTATTTGGTTTTCTTTTTCTAATCATTTTCTACTATTATGCTTTCATTGTCCATTTTATTTTGTAACGTACAGTACGAGTAATATGGAATAGTGTAAATAATATGCATAACTATAATAGTGGAATAAGCAATTTGCATAACTAAAATTGTAACGTACAATACTGGTAAGAAACTTGCATGCATAAGTTAATAAGCATCTTAAAAAGAAGAAAAAGTCTACTGCAATTTGCATTCTTGATATTTCCTTCTCCATGCAAATTCCATGATCTATTTGACCAACCTCCTGAAAAATGAATAAATTAAATTTGACAAAAATTAGCATACACTATTTTATTGAAAAATTTATAGAAAATATGATTATATAAACCAACAAGTTCATACCTTAATTATCATTGCTTAAATAGTTAAAAGTATTTTCAACTAACTCTCGGTCACATTTTAGTTGACTAGGTAGTATACCTCGAGTAAGCATCACATCTTTCTTCATATGGGGAATTCGGTAATTATTAGTTCCTTTAACTTTCATGATTTCAATCATACAAGATTGGAGTGTGAGAAAATTTTTGTCAGATTGTTTGCTAGAAAAATTATCATATGACTTTTGCACAACTTCAATGAGCTCATCAACCGATTTTGAAGCTTCCTTATGTTGTAATGACTGAATGGCATTAAAAAAACCCAGATCTAAGACATTTAAATCAGGAGAATTTGGTGGTTGACAAGATAAACGAATGTCAAATCCACCTTCAGAAGCTGCTTTACAAAATTCTTCGTCGTCAATAGAAACATGACATGGAGCATTATCTTGTTGTATATAAATTGTTTCCATTGCATGTTCTCTGGGCCATTTTTCTTTAATTGCAGGTAACACTTTATTGATTAGAAAATTTCGAATAACTTCTTTAGTGATAGAAGTAATTGGCTTAGTTTCAAGTGTACCCGAAGCTCTATTGACACTTGACCTTTTTGCTGCTACTTTCTGAACCAGAGGAAAGACGCCAATTTTTCCTGAAAATATCTCTTTATCATCGTCATCAAATCTAGGCCTAGCGACTGCTACTAAAAACATGACCTTGCCAATAAAATTTTTATTTTTGCATGTGCGATATGGCTCATCCTCATTTTCAAGAAGGTAGTAGTTTGCCGATTTTTTGGTCATGTAGAACCACTTTTCATCTATGTGGATGATATTATGCATAGACTTAAACTCTGGATCATGAGGAAGACTAGTTTCTTCAAGCATTGACAAGCAAAATCTAAGACGGTCTTTCATATTACTATCTTTCATCTGTGGCTTTAGAGCATTTGAATGCCGACGCAAAGTCCCATCTTTTACAAACTTTAACAATGCTGTTTTGCTAATGCCCAAGACAAATGCGAGGCTCTGAAGAGTGCTACGTTTAGCTAACGGAATATCCCGCACTTTTTCAATATCTACCGTAACTCTTTTTCGACCACAATTTTTTGTTCTTTTATGAGACGCGTCACCTGTTTGACATACTTGCTTCCAAATGCGATAAATAACGTAGATGGATACCGAGTATTTGGATGCCAACCATATAACAATTCTGGATTCCAGTTTTCCACCATAATTATTCTTTATCAATAATTGAGAAATTATTTTCCGCTGGTCATTGTTCAAGAATGATTTTTTTTCTTAACAGTTTGTGTCTCATGTTGAACCATGGTTGACACTGCATGTAAAAAAGTGAATATAATGAGAAAAAATGTTACTGCATGTTGTTACTAAGTGTTTATGCATGTCTTATGTTTATCATAAAAAAGTGAATAGAAAAAGTATGATGACACAATAATAAACAAACCAAAAGTAATGATATAAACAAACCAAAATTAATGATATAAACAAAATGTTTAAAATAAATTGATTACAGTATTGCTTACTAAATCCATCTTCATATTGATTAAATTCAGTCTCCTCTCTTGGATTAAATTCACTCTCTGCAACTTTATAAAACAAAATTGAAAGTAAAAATAATTAATTAAGTTGTTTAATGGTTATCCAACATGAAAGAGCATATTACCTTCTTCCATGACATAAACTTCATTTGAATAGAGAGCATCTACATCGATGTCTTCATCATGGTTAGGAAATCCATGTTCAACTTCATTATCATTACTTGAAGAAGGATCATTTAGATTAATGGAAGGTGTTATGTTGCATTCCATCATTTCATGATCAACATATGGAGAGTTTAGATCAATATTAAGAGGCATTTTTATTAAAACCAAATGACAATGATACAGGAAAAATAAGCTTTAGTATTTATAGAGCTCAACTTTGTAGTACAAGGCGGGAATGTATTTTGGAGTATGAAAATTTTGGCAAACTTTTCAGGCAGGACAGTTTTATATGAAAACTTAAAATTTTACTACATTTTTAAGGTGGGAGTTTATTGGTTGCAATGAGAGTATGTGGAGTGAGAAAGTTTAAGAGTTTAAAAGTGGACATTTATTAGTTGCATTATAGATGCACCGATAGAAACAAAAGGACCAATAATTAAATGGTTATAAAAAAATTATTAATTAAATTCTAAATTAATAAATAAGGGTAAATATGGAAAAAATGCATATTTCTCACCATTTAAATGAATATATGACCACTTTCTTAAAGGGTGAGCTTTTTTTTTTTTGCTTACATATAAGACCGGAGGAAGTATAATATAAGAATTGAATAAGAAACAATTAATAGAAGAAAACTATAGAGTTAGCAAAAATGTAATTTAAGTGTCATAATTTAGAATTAGTAAAAAACATTAATTATATATAAGAAAAAAATAAAATAATTTGAAATAGTATATTCTGAAAATAGCAATGAAAAGTCTTTAAAAACGACGTTTAGAAAACCGGTGCATTAGAAATTAATATGAAATTAACAATATTAAATAGTAAGAAACTCGTGCTATCATACGGTTACCGTCTGAATTCACATTATACGTCTCTCACTCTCATTTATCAAATTTGTATATATTTATTCATTTAATTAACATTTATATAGTTACAAACATAGAAAGCGCATTGAACTCGTGTGTCTATTTATAAAAAAATATTTGTAATTTATTCCGATTTATAATAATAATTGAATAATAAATTGAATTTTTTTCGTTTATAAAAATATTTGTAACTTATTCTAGTTTAAAAAAGTTATTGTAACTTATTTCCGTATATAAAAATATTTATATCAACATATAGACTTTTTCCCGTTTATAAGAGACTTGAACCTGTGTGATAATTTATAAAGTAAAATTTAATTTATTCATGTTAAAAATAATTGTTTTAATACTTCAATTTTTATCCTTTATAAAAATATTTGTAACTTATTCGCGTTTATAAAGTTATTCCAACTTTCTTTGCGTTTATAAACACATTGAACTCGTGTGTCCATTTATAAAAATATTTGTAAGTTATTCTCTTGTATAAAAATAATTGTAACTTATTCCGTTTATAGAAATAATTGTATCATTAAATTTTTACTTTTTATCATTAATTTTTTATGATTACCATTTATCATTAAATTTTCATGACTACCATTTAATATTTTTTATCATGATTACCATTGAAAAGATTCTCATAAATTTTAGTTATTTAATAAGTTTTAAAAAATTATAGAATTTCAATTGATTTTATTTTGTTTTATTAAATTTTTTATAAAAATCTAAATTATTTTAAAATATATCAATAGCATTCAAAATTATATAGTTTTTTCTTAAAATACTTTTTGAATGCTATTTAAAATTATATCAATATTATATATTTTATTTTCATTAATTCAATTTAATTGAATTTCAATGAATCGATTAATCTTTTGAAAATGATCTAATTGAATTAATTGATCAATTAACTCTTTGTAAAGTTATCATACGTATAATAGTTTCTTTCAAAAGTATTTTCTTAAGAAATATTCAAAATAAAGTATTTTAAGAAATATTAATAAAAATGAGACGATTTTTATTAACATTTCTTAAAAATACATGCTTTTTAATAATATTTCATAAAAATACATGATTTTTAATATATTTTAGTAACAAATATTATTTAAACTATAATAATACTTACTTAAAATTTTAAACAAATCACAATTTTGCTAATATTTTTTAATAAATTTGTTTTAAAATGATAGAAAATTTTATGGTTTTTAATGATTCACTTTATATATTTAATTTCAAGTTAATCATTACTCATTTTAGAATATTTATTTTTTTGAAAATTATTTTATCATTTTGCAATAAATCATTAATCATAATTTATATGATTTTAAGATACTTATAATCATAAATCATAATTATTTTATCAATTAATCATAATACATAATTTATAATTGCAATAATTCAAATTTTAAACTCAAATGTACTTTTCCGTATTCCCAGGGACAGACCTTTTGAACCTTCATCATATATACATTCTCTTTAATTTGTATTTACAACACACTTTGTACGACTGATTCATTGTATTCTAAATTTACAAAAAATAGATAGTGCATCTAAAAAACATAAACAACAAATGAGAGGAATAGATATAAATAAATAAACCGTGAATGAAACATTGGAATTGGAATTCAAATATAAATAAATTAACCGTGAATGAAACATTGGAATTGGAATTCAAATATAAATAAAATTCAAATATAAATAAAATAAATTAATAAATCAAATAAATAAAAAATAGTGTAAAATTATGATAGATTGACATGTCAGCAAAATTAAATGTTTGAGTCGTTGATGTCTTTCACAGCTTCAATCGGTCGCGCCAGATTGAGGAGTGAAAGAGTAAGAGTTTATAATGACTATATATAAGGTTTAGAATGCATGAGAAGTTGTGATATCTTGAAATATCAAAATAATTCATTCTAATTCCAATAATATACATTTAATCTTGTAGTGTAATGCAATGAATAATATTCCATTTAATTATAATAGATCTAA